GTGAGGAGAGAAGTATGGTTTGATGATCACCATGTGTGTTTCAGTACTTTATATAAACCTGATATCATATCATCCACAGAAATTCCTAAAATGGTACTAGTAAGGAAACAGACTCAGGCTAAGTCAGCTAGCCACTGTCTCACAGTTGTTATATAGCTCAGGAGCAAGGATTTGAAATCAGATTTCTATGTGTATATAGAGCTGATTCTCTTCCTAGTAGTACTATGTCATAACAGGCAGCTAAAAACTACTCTGCTACTCCTACTTAGATCAAAGTTTCCAGGTTCATTACCATTTCAGTAATGCAGTTCATGCATGACATAACTTCCTTATAAGATATGACCTGTATCTTCACAGTCCCTGGCAGTATGTGCTGAATGAAAGGGTGTAATTTGCCTGCACATTTTACATGCTTCTCAAGGTATGCGGTTAACTTTTATAATCCATCTATGACTGTCCATCTACGAGCCGTCTTTCATCAGTTGTTTTTGCAACAGAATTAAATAGAAAAACTTAACTTTATACATGTTTCTTTTCTCTCATAAACTCAATACCCTCAGGAATAACTTGGTGTCCAGCACTCTCCATTCTCAATGGGAAACAGTGTTCAAGTATTCACCTGGAACAAGGCATTTTGTTCCTATGACTGACTCTTCACTTAAAAGAAAGCGCCCTGGAGTAGTCAGTTCATAACAGAACCTCAGCATCTTCAGAATGTTTGGCACAGCCACAAACACACTGAACAAAGACCAGGACATTTTAGCTTTTTCATGCAAAGGGGGTGCAACACACACTCTTATTATGGTGTGCTTTCTAGTTCTTTCTGCCATGTATCCTTGTTAAAAGATGGTGATTCCATATGGTTTTCCTTTGCATTTTAACCATTTTTGTCATACCATAGCCCTTTTAGCAATATCAGTGTCACATTTGCAATTGAATACCATTTACATTCATCCATCTCTCCCAATGGTGTTCATTATAGACCATCATAGTCTTCACATTTGTGTGACAAAAACTGATTTTTTCCACTGATGTCCGTGGTACACTTGGCAGTTTTCCATGTACTCAGTTCTTATCTGATGTAGCCCAGAATGACTGCCTGAAGGGATGCCAAAGTCCTGACCTAAGTTCCAGATTCTTAGCTGCAGTTCTATCAATCCATTTGTTCATTTAGTTTTTTTTAGATTAATTTATTTTTTTATGGTGACATTGGTTACCGAAATCCAATAAGTTTCAGCTGTACACTTTAATAGCTGATAAGGACACTGTGTTTTTACCTCCCATAGTTAGATTTCTGTCACCACATTTGACCCCCTTCACCCCATCTACCTTCTCCCTCCCTCCTCCCCCACCCCTTCCCTCTGGTAACCACTAGTCTATTGTCCATGTCCATGAGTCTGTCCTGTTTATTTGTTGCTTTTAGGTTTAAAAACCACATATAAGTGATATCATGCGATTTTCAACTTTTACTTTCTGGCTTTTTCGCTTAGCATGATTATCTCAAGGTCCATCCATGTTGTCACAAATGGCAGTATTTCATCTCTTCTTATGGCTGAGTAATATTCCATTCTTCACAAGAACACTACTAGAAACAATAAGCAAATACAGTAAAGTTTCTGGATACAAAATCAATGTTCAAAAATCCGTAGCGTTCCTATACTCTAATAATGAAGTATCAGAAAAAGAAGTGGAAAAAATTCCTTTTGCAATTGCAACAAAAAGAATAAAAAACCTAGAAATAAATCTAACAAAACATGTGAAGAACCTATATAATGAAAACTATGAGACTCTGTTAAAAGAAGTTGTTCATTTAGCTTTAACTTTCCCTTTTATCATCTGTAGCTCACAGCTGAGTGGCTTGAACATGTTTTGCAGATACTCCATAAGTTTGAATTTGGGAATACTCTTCTAGGTTTTAGACAATACTACTTTCTACTTATAAAATGCTTTTTAAAAATAAAATCTCCAGTTTTCCTGAAAGAGAAGAGAATGAACATTTATCAAGTACCAGCTAGATGCAGGAACTATGTGCTTGACTTCCTTCGTGTTCTTTCGTTTTCACAAAACACACACAGATGATGTCCTTCCCAGTTTACTCATGAGGCGACTGAGGCTCAAAGTAGTGGATACCCACCCAAGTCACAGCACACAGCCTTTAAGTGGCAGAGCTGAGATCTGAAACATGTCAGTTCGACCAGATAGGCTGATCAACCTCCTACTACTGTGTGACCTCATCCAGAGGAGATGATGTCCTTTTCACAGGGTTGTTGAAGATGGATGAGATTCTGTTCAAAGTGTTAAAACTATCAAGTACTACAAAGTACTTTTTAAAGTTTTTTAAATACATGTATGTATATATAAGTACGTGTATATAATTTTATTTTTATCTAAAATTGGTTGAAAATTAACATCTCAAATCTTTAAATACTGCGCTTATTTTCCACAAACTAAATACCCAAACAACTGGTTGGTCCCTAAAAATAGATGTCAGATGACAGAGATTGGCTGAGCAGGAATAGGAGCATCTTCAGAACAGAAGCCAAGGAAGTGTTTGCTTCCCTAACACACTGCTCTGTTCACTCACTCCAAGACCTTCCTACTTCTCTGTAAAACTCTGGCCCAGAGCAGCTTCTCTACATTCGTCACAAGTTTCCATTAATCAAGGGTGGCTCGTGCCAGACCGACAGCAAAGTCATTTCAGGTTATCCTCTTTCACTGTAGGCTTTCCATAAGTGCGCAGTCCACTCTGCCAAATCTAGCAGGGAATCAATGCCTTGTGATACGGAAGCTTCCAGAAATTCTTGACAGTGTTCAGAGAACAATGCAAAACCCCGGGGCCTGTTCCCAGAATTGGGGTGGTGGGGACACTGTCCTGGTTGACTAGGTCTCTTAGACAAACAAGAGTTGGCCAGGTGCAGTGAGCCTCATTTGAGGACAGAATTTAGGGGGAGCTTTTGGATTAATTGGCCTAATTACCTAAAGTGACTTTTATAAAACAAATTGTCATTCTACAATTACCTTTTAACTTTCATTTCTAAAAGAGAACTACAACAAAGATATTACTTATTAATTTCTAACCATGTTGCTAACCAAAACGATTTTTTAAGTTAGTTCGCTCTGTGAATTAGTTTGAGCATACTCGTGATTGAGATTTAGGACAGTAAGTCTTAACATTGTCGACGGGTTCTCGATGGGTTCTGCAACTAAGTGAAATGATGTATAATGAAACAACACTGAACAGAACAGTATTTGAGCTGCTGAACTGTTACTGGCCGTAATTATAAAGGAGGACAAAGACAACTAAAACCCAATATCAGTTTATTTCCAAATGCCATCTCTTTTAGAGAATAGGCAAATTAAGAAAATTTTAGAGAAAAGTAATGGTATGTTTATGAACTTTCTTATAGAGGTGATAAACAACACACTTAAATATGTATAGGTCCAAAATCAACAGATTGCTACCATCCATATTTTTGAAGAACATATAACAAGAGGAGGAATGGGTAGTCTCTAGAAACTCTTTGTAGAGACTCTTTTTAGTTACTCAAACTCTTTGGAGTTATACAATGCAGTTTTGTTTCTAAAGTTAGCATGTAAGATGAAAATTCCTTAAGATGCACTGGAGAGCACTGTATCATCTCTAATGAAATATTTCATAGTTAATTTTTTCTCAAGCATTAAAAGGATCACTATTTTGTTAGTTTATAAAAATATATCTATTTATAAGCAAATGTGGTAAAATATTAAGAACTGGTTGAGTATACATAAAGGGTATAGGTACCATTGTTCAATTCTTTCAAGTTTTCTGAGAATTTGAAAATTTTCAAAACAAATTAGGAAAAGAATGTTTACCTTTAAACACTAGTAAACACTATACCTGTGCTCCTAGTGGTGAAAAATCTACAAAACAAAAAACAAGACCTAGTAAGAGAAGTGGTTCCCATCTTCCATTATTTTCTCCAGGGCATATTTCTTCATTGAGTGGGGAGGGCAGAAAGAGCCTTACCATTAAAAAGCTTGGTGCTTTTTTTCCAGTCTTACTACAAACCAAACAAGGTTATAGAAAGGAATGTTTCTTTTCTAAGCCATAAGAAACTGTGGTTTCAGTTGGCAACACTGGGAATGAGAGATCTAGACCAAACTAATATTGTGAAAGTTGACTGTAGTAGAGGACATGAGAATTAATTAAGACTGAACTTGAAAGATGCCTGTGCAGGATCTTAAAATTAGGGGAAAAAATGGTATCCTAAGTTTAAAGGGGTAGGAAGGATCTTTTGGGGGTGACAGATATTATACTCTCTCTTGATCATGGTGATAGGTACACAACTATTTAATAAAACTCATCAGTTGTACACTTATAAATAGTGAATGTTATTATATGTAAATGATACCTTAATAAAGGTGATTATAACTATAAACAAATCCTAAGCAACTAAAATTTTGAATTTCTCAATGAAACACAATTTCACCATTCTTTTTAGGGGATAATTAGAAATAACCTCACTCCTAATTTTTTTTTTTTTTAAAGAAGAAAACATCATTTGAACATATTTGGGTAGATAAGATATTTTAATGCTTGCTAATACTTGAAGTCAGAGCATGGGAACGTGCTCACTGTGGAGTAAGAAGGTGAGAGAACTGTATTTTGATGTTCCTTTGATGGTAGTGACAGTCAAATCACAACACTGCTTTCTTCCTCCTTTAGCCCTGGAATGAGACCAGATGTAAGCTCTCCTCCATCCAGCTCCTCAGCAGCAGCGGGACCACCTCCCAAACTCTGCCTTGTGTGCTCTGATGAAGCTTCAGGATGTCATTATGGGGTCTTGACTTGTGGAAGCTGTAAAGTCTTCTTCAAAAGAGCAGTGGAAGGTAGTGTGTGTTTTGAAGAGTTTTATTTTTTCTCTATTTGGTTCTTATTTCTCAAAGTGGGTTTTCAAATTTCTATTATAGACAAAACCCAACAGGCTAGAAAACAGTAAAGTGGGGAGAGGAGGATGGCTCCTAGGTCCTTCAGGGGGAAAGATACTTTTAAAAGCAACATAAGCAGAACTAGAATAACATAAGAGAAGTATAAACTGAAGCGAGGGAGCTTGGTCAGAGAACAGAAGGTAACTGTAAAAAAGTTGTATCCTGTGATATGATGGTGTTAGATTTGGGCAGTAACATAAACATAATGCTCATTGTATTAGAATCATAGGCTTTAATTCCCATAAATTAGTTGGTTTTAAAGCCACCAACTATTCCAGCCTGTCAAAAATGCAGTGAGAACTGGGGAGGAGGGGGATGGTATTATATTTTCTTCCT